TCAGCAGTGTCCGTGTATGATTTGATAGGTGCCGCTCTGAAGCGTATGTAACTGTTCGATAGGGTTCTCTACGCACAGCTTCTCCCATGTTGGTGTACAAGTGCTTGTTTTCTTTGTGTATCCTTTCTAATGATACCCAGGCTATCTTCTGTCACTTTTATCTGTCCTCCCAAGAGGAGATCCAGAGGGGAGGTAGAAGGTAATGAGGAAGGCAGGATAAGACTAGTAGTGGAAAAAAGGAGAAGGGAAGAGACGTGGAGTTTTGTGATACTTTAAGTTTATGTGATAATATGCTACAGGATACGGAATGTATTGCCAAAAGCTGTTATAATCTAGGAGCTTCGTTTGTGCCAGTGGAGAGCTCTGCATGTGATCCTAATCAAATTGCTTACACTGGGGATTAGTGAAGATAGGCTTTTTTGTTTTTATGTAAACCCTGCCATGTAATTTAACTCATTTGGAGTAAGTGATGCTACATATGCACTATCTTCTCAAAGAACATCTAGGTGATTCTCGTGTGGTTTGACTTTGTTAAAATTTCACTATCAAATTGAAGATATGTATATATTGTTTTTTCTAATATCATCCTGAATGAAATTCAGAAGGTGATCCTCCGTGCGTTGTGTATAGTACTACTGTCTCAGGGTAAACTGATAGGAAAGATGCTTCTGTGTTTCTTTTCAGTCTCATCCAGAAAAAGTTTAAAAAATGATGAAGTAATACTGTACTGCCACATTTGAATTTCAAAGAAAACTTCTCCTACTCTCCCTACAAACTATGTAAGAAAAATGTCCACAGTTCAATTACAATTAAAAGTGACGCTCCCCATATGTAATAACAGAGTTTTCCTAGCATCTTGAAAAAGTACGCATATATATTTTATTGGTACCTTTTAAGACATACCCCGTTAGGGTATAAGAAAAGAATTTTGTACTTAATGCATCAGGGAATGTGTTTGGGAACAGTTCACTCATGTGAAAGTATAACCCTGGTAAAGATGCCAAGGTCATTAGAGACCTGTGGAGATCTGCTGATTAAGTGCTGGTCACACAGGCAGCCAGAACTTTAGGCACATACACACCCAATTTATTTCCAAGGTTTTAAGGAAGGTTAGCGAAGGCAGTACTTGGAACTTGCCCTTTATACTTTGCTACCTTTTATAAAAGTTCAGCTTGCATCTTGCTAAGTTACTGAAATGCATAATGAAAGAGGTGAAAGAATACCAGCTAGTTTAATTTGAGTGTCTGAAATGGTATCTTACAATAGGTACAGGAAAAGACAGTTTAGAGTAGACCTCTATATATGACTGCATCAATGTAGGCTGGACTTAATTTTGAACCTGTTCTGTTAAATATGTATATGTATATGCATGGGTTTTGTTTGTTTGTATTCTGTGCGTGTATGTGTACTTTCTTCTGAGTAAATAATGCTTCCTGTGTGGGGAAAGTAGCGTGTAACGTGGCAGATGAGGTGCTGGATTGGTCAGGTACAGCGTGGCTCTGCAGTGGTGCTCGCCTCCGGTGCAGCCTGTGTAGGCGGTTGGGTGAAAAAGAACAGACAAATCAACATTCCTGTCGCTGAGCTCCCCAGCATGCCCCAGCTGCTTTCACTCTGCTCCAAAACTGGGAAAGGAGACAAAAAAGGAGCCACTGATGGAGTGCTTGCTAATTAGTAAATCTGCGCTGTATGCAAAAAGCAAAAATTAAAAGAATATATAACTGCTATTGAAAAGTATGTGAGAACGTAAAGCATCAAGAGAGATCTGTTTCAGAGCTTTTTAAGCAGTCATATACTCAGAAAAAACAAATTTTTTCAGTATTTTTGAAAGACTAAAACTTGTCAGCCTGCTTATGTTGCCAGTTTTTGTATGAGTTCATTGACCCTGTAGACAGTCTGAGTGGTCTCTGAGTTACTGCTCTATCAAACTAATTTGCATGTTTTTAAAGCTGTTGCTTGCTAGAAAACAATCTAGTGAGGGTGCAGTTTGTAAACAGCCGCTTATATAACATTGCTTAAGCCTGGTTTAGGGGGAGGGGGAGAACTGGGAACTACAATCACAAGTAACATAACGGAAAAGTGTGACAAGTGGTTTTCATATTTCCATGAAATATTTTACAAAGTAGTTAATTACAAAGATGCACCAAATGATTTATTTTGTTTTCACTCGGATAAGCATGACTTCACATGCAGAAATGTTATGCTTCAGTAATTAATGGATAATTACCCTTTGCCGCCAGATGCTGTCGAGGCCAAAGGTATAAATGGATTCAAAAAAGAATTAGAGCAGCTAATGGATGATGCATTCATACAGGAAGAACAGCGGAAGCTGGGAGGGTGCAATAGGGAAAGGCTTGTGCTTGTACTTCCTGTTCTTTCTTCCATAAGCACCTGCTGTGGCTGCTGTTGGAGATGATACTAGTCTGGATTGACCCACGTGGTAGTTCTGGTGTGCTTATTATTCTTTAAGGTCTTACTGCGGAAGGCAGTGGGTCTATACATGAGAACGGGATCTTGTACAGAGCACTGCTTCAGATCAGACCTTGAATGCAGAGGAGCAAGAATTACAAATTTTATCTCAGATTTTGTCTCTTCCCTCCTTTGGAGGGGTTTCTGACTGACAGAGGTTAGATCCTTTCAGCTCTTACTCCATAGAAATAAATGTTTACACACACATACCAAGTCAGTGTTATAGTGTAGCAGTACAGTATAGTAAAACAGCATAAACATACTTTCATTCACAGTTTCCACAGTAGCATTTAAGTGTAGAATTTAAATGTAACATGGGAAAAGTAGAGCCTTCTAAACGGTAGGGCATATTTTAGAGAGATTAAGTGGTGAGACTAAGGTGGTGGTTAGCTCTGAAAAGTTACATCCTGCAGTCATTTGCCTTGCCAAAAAGTCTATCACCACATATGATAAATTATGTGATGAATAGTTTATTATAATTTTGTCCTTGTGCTGTATATTGATTTCAGTTTCTGAAAAAATATACAAAGCATATCTTTTTGAACAGGAATTGAACTCAGTAGCTAAACTCCTTCCATCCTCAGACAGCAGCTGAAAACCAAGCAGAACTCCTTCAGAATAAGTACAGTGCAGTTTGAACGCTACGCAGATAAAGCTGCACCAATACCATTGTAGGGTATTCCCAGCCTCTGCTTCCTGTTCCTGCCCATTCACCATCTGCTCTGCTGTGTTCACACAACAGTTTGTGGGACCATATTTTGGAATGGGTTGTGGCGTTTTTCTGGTAAGCATCCCCCTCCTCCCCCTTCTGAGGGGAAAGATTTCTTTGTATGTTTGAAAAAACCCCAGCTGATTCTGTTCCTTAGAGCTGGTTCACAGTGCAGCCCCACAGATAGTTGTGTGGATGTAAAGGGTGATTGCTTGGTGTTTGACCTCCTCAAAGGCCCACATGGCTCTTGATATCTGTTAGGTTACCTGGAAATACATAAGAATGGGATTTGATAATGAAAATATTCTAGGGCAATAAAAAGGAAGATGTTAAGGTAAGAATGTGTGGATGAGAGACATGACACCATAGAGAGGTTGTGTGTTACTTTAGCATGTACCTATGCATGAGAGGAGAAAAAAAATTCTTTGTGGATCTTCCTGCAGTAATCTGAGTAATGAAACAGTTTTCTAATACATACAGATTATAACATTAATTCCTCTGGACATTTTAACAGTATAACCAATTTGTATTTGCTGTGGTGCCATGGTGAAACTTCTGTTGGGAAACGTCATCAGTTATTTTTGCCTTTTTTTTGTTTTTAAACGTTACATAATTTGTCTTCACTAGAGTGCTGCTATCCTTGAGAGTGAAAGAAATGCTGCAGAAGAAATGCGAAATAGTATAGAAAATCAAGTCAAAGAGCTGACTGAGGAAAATGAACAGTTGAAGAGAGCAGTTGATGAGCTAGAGAGAAAAAATAAAGAGTTGTACAACCAAATCAATAATATGAAAGGAGAAGAAGATGCAGCAAGGGAAAAAATAAAGAAATATGAGGTACGTCAAGAAAACAAGCCCCTGAAGTAGCCTCCTTCCTGTTTATGATGTGGTCAATACATTGTAGGAGAACCAAAGCTGAAAAGTAAGAGAATGGGCAATGTCATTTAGAAAGCTAAGCAAAGCCTTGGTTTTCAAGAAGCGGGATGCAGTTTACTGACAGATATAGTAAAAATTTCTCCAGTAAAAAGCAGTGTAAAAGCAAGTCTTAGCTTGGAAAAGGGAATATTAATGATAGGCAACAGTAGGCGTAGTTTATAGGTCAGTTTATAGGTGAGAGTTGCCATGTGGATATCTGGAAATGGAAAGTACAAGGAAGCCAGTGAATGTATTGCTAAGTATTTGCAGTTTTGTGTGCACTACTTAAGTGGTACTGGTTGACTGTAGGTCTTCTGATGTCAGGTTAATACCTTTCTGAATACATCAAATCGTATCGTTGCAGGAAGAGAAGCAACAATTAGAAGAAGCTTTGAAACGTGCTGGAAACGAGGAAAAAGAGTTGATGGTGTTAAAAAAGTCTTTGGAAAGCCAACTAGAAGATATGCAGGTCAGGACAAGAGCAATCTTGGAATATTTAACTTTTAAAATTTCCTGTTTGTTTTCCTGAGTCACCATTACTTTCTGCAGAATAAAGTCACATTCTTTTTGAACTACCTTTTCTTGTAAGTCCCAGTCTCACTGCAATGTTCAAATATTTCCTGAAGCGTAGCATCATCTGATTAAAGTTGTTTTCTTGCTGAAGTTTTTTTCCCTTTAATGGATCTAGTGAAATTTGAGGGAGATAAATCACAGAATGAACTGTGTAGGGTTTTATAGATCTGTTTTTATAATTTTGAATGATCGTTCAACTTTGGCTGTGTTGCCAATAGCTATTTACATGCAAAAGAAAGAAAGGGTGAATATAAATTAAAATATAAGTAGGAGACACAAAGATCAGCAAAGTGGCTGCTCTGTTTTATTTTTATGAGCCTGTCTTATTTGCAAATGTTGCATGGAACTGGTATAGTTCATCTCAAAACCACAGAAATTTAACACTTATCATAAGGACTAGTAGCCTCTGAAACTGTTTATGAAGTCCTGTTTTCACCTTGGTCCTTCTGCTACCCAGGATCCAGGAAGGGATACGCTCCCTCCCAAATTAGCCCTGAAATGAGTTGCGCGGAAAGTGTGGCTCTTTCAGAGTAGTGGAGAGGGATGTTGGCGACATTGTGTAGGGGTAAAGACAGAAGGATTCAGATGGGGTGAAAATTCAGATGTATTTAGTAAGGAGAGAAACGTGAATAAATCTTAGACCTGCCCTTGTTGAGATCATATCCCATATCTGAAAAAGGTGCAAACTGAAAAGGTGCAGTCTTCATAATTCACCTTTTACATGTACTGAAAAAGCATTTGTTTCTACAGTGTTAGATAGTTTAAAATTCCCCTGCTGTTACTTCTAAAAGCAGAGTTTTTAAATGATTCTATCAGACACAAATGTAAGGTTATACATGTTACTAAAAACGCTTTTTAAAATTGAATGGCTATTTTTCCTTGTTGTCTGCAACACAAATTTTACGTTACTGTTCTAGAATTTTGAAAAAGAAACTTGTCTACCAGTGGATAATAAATCAAGAGAAAATTGTGATGTTCAGTTAATTAGGGTAAACTGAAAAAAAAAATCAAAAAAAGAAAATGAGATTATGTGTTTAAGATGATATCTGCTTCAAGAATATAAGGTGTTAACGGTACAAGTAAGGATATTTTATTTCTACAAAATGACATTTTAAACCTAACATTCTTTGAAAGTAAATAATTGGGATGCCTTATTTCATTCATCCCTTGAATGAAATGATCCCATTTCATTCATGGTTTTTGTTTTTAAATCTCTATCTGTTCTACCTCACTGGTTCTCCAAATTTGATTGTATGTTTCACTGATAGTCTGCACAGTCACAATAGATGGCCCATTGCTCATCAGTAGCTTGGATTTAGCCCTTTGTTCAAAGTTCTCCCTTTTTCACTAGCAAGAGGACCTTCCTACACACCATGAATCAATGCACCATGTGTATTTCCTGGCTCTTGACTAGCTTTGGACCAAGGTGCTTGAAAAGTATGTTCTTGCCTTTCTCTTTACCCGCCTTCTAGGCCCTCATGCCAAATTATGCTGCCTCCTGGCTGGGTCTCCAAATTAAAGAATGCTAAGAAAGGTGACAGATTAAAAAAAAAAAAAAAGTCTGTCATGTCACTTTACATATCAGTTATGCCAGACTTCTGGTACACCAAGTTTAGTCCTCTATTTCTGTTTCTGCACTATTCGTGTCCACCAGATGGCAAGCCCTAACAGACTTCAGGATGTAATGAGCTGTCCCATGTGTTTGGAACAATTCAGCCTTTCTATCTTTAGAGTTGTACTTGTTTTCATGAACAGTGTTCTGCAGTATGTTGATTTAGCCTTGTATTACCTTTGACAATTTAGACCACAAACTCTGGCATAGTAATAATGCTTATCACAGTGGAAACTTAATTCCTGACTGGCCCATCTTGCTTTTTTATGTGATGCAAATAACTTTTAATGATAGATTAACATAACGAAGACAGTGGAAATGTGAATAGAATCCTAACAGTTATGGTAAACATAGCAAAATCTGTTCTTTCTTCATCCTAGATCTGTACTCAGAAAAATTAAGGCTGGAATACACATAAGTGATTATCATAGACAATTAGTTTTAATGATTTTTGTCCAAAATCACTCTTAGTATAGATTGCAATTTTATGATGCGCAAGCACTTTTTTAAAAGTATCATAACCTCTACTTTAAACCTTGTTTTGTGATGGCCTCCTTTTTGTAGTCCGCTGCTCAAAAATGTGAAATACATTTTAAAATTTTTGCAACCTTGGGAACACTTTTGGAAATTTCTTGAGAACTCCTTTAGGAAAGAAAATATATAAATATAATTGTTATGCAACTTAACTGTAAAATACATGATACTGCAATATATTTAAAAAATGTTAACTGTACGAACATTTTGAATGGTAGTGCCAAGTATTCTGTGTTTGTTAAATTAAATGATCAGAATATAGCATTCTTTCCATGGGTAGAAAGTATGGAAGTTATGTCTTTGTTGTACTAAATAACTGCAGACAAATAGAGTTAGTGCTGTCCATTGAAATGCATTTTTAATGTTCAGTTATCAATTAAAAGACATTCTTTTGTAAAGAGAAGGTTCGGCTAATATTGTTTGGAAAAAATAGTGCAAGTGCTATAATAATTTTTGGCTGCTGCAAAAACAAAGATTAGGCTGAACACTGAGTGTTAATTTACTACTTTATTTTCCCCTGTTTTGTTTTCTTTCCTTCTTTGGGTATGTGGAAACATTGAGTGTATTTCATTGTCATTTTATGGCTCCTTGTCTTCTAGACTAACTACCCACTGACCTGAAATTGAGAAATACTTTTGCAGAGTTAGCCTTACTTGCACTGAAGTAACATGCAAACTTCTTCACAAAATAATTGATTGCTGGTACAGGTTGGTTTTAAATTGGCAACTGACAAACTGTTGGCTTGAGTTGTGGTTATGTTGTAACTGAAAGGCCAGTCAATTCCAGTTAACAATATTCAAGGATTTTTGTATGTGAAGGGAACTCGAATTAGAAGTCATACTTGAGTTATACTCAACTTGAATAGACTGTTAAGTTGTCCTATAGGATATTTCACAATTCAGTTATTGAAATTCTGTGAAATACATTCAAAGGCTAGGCACTGAGGAAACTGAAATGTTTGGATAGTCAGTAGCAAGATTTTCATTTCATCAGCCTTTTTAATACTTAAGAAAAATGACATAAATAGAAGTTCTGTTGTTTCTAGCATCTCTCTTAAGTATATTAGGCTAGACATGCTAATTTTTAAACAGTATTTTTCTTTTCTTTTTGTCAGCTAATCTAGAAAAGGGAAATACCATGTCCTAGTTTGTCAGTCAGAAACTGCATAAGACGTGCTATTTTCCCTGCAAGTGTTACAGGAATACAGTAGTGTCTGTTGTAGTATAAAATGTTTTTTCTAATTAAAACAAGATCATTTCTATTGCATTGCTCAGTTTTCATTGGGAATATTTTTACCCTACACACATGTTATCAAGTTGCCAGCTGGCTACATTTTAGCAAAACAGCTAGGGTCTTGTCATACTTTGGTAATCTTATTACTTAGAGAATAAATGTTTTCTTGGCATGATAGTTTGCTGAATAGTATAGATCTTAATATGGATACCTATTAAACAGATTATAAGAAGAAAATTATGCAGAACTGTGGGGAAAACCCACCACTTCCAGCCAAATAGAATTCGTCAAGCCCAGAGAACGATTGGCTATTACCCACTTCTCCCAGGAGCATAATTGTGCTCAGCGTGCATGTCAACCAGCGGATTGTGCATTAATAATCTGTTAGTCTCGGAGAGAAAGAACAATGGTGTACATTTTTTTCAGCCGTGTACTTGTCTGTATACACAGAGAAACCTTTGCATTCTCCAGTCACTAGTAAATGTAGTGAAGGGGAGGCTGGAGCATGATAGGATCTCTACTGCACCCAGGAAAAGCTTAGTCTTGTAACTCTTATTGCACATCAGATGGCTCAGCAGATGCTGGTGCATCATGAGAGAGAGGGAGGGACATGAGAGATTTTAACAGTTGAGGGCGAATGAGAGCATGAAACACCTGAACTTCAGATCCTATGCTACTCTGGAACAAAATTGAACAAGCTAAAAATAAATTTAGCAAAACTGAAACTTTCCCCTTGGAAAAAGTTGATTATCTAGGAATTGCATTTTCCATCAGAATAATTACAATCACAAATTTAGTGTCTTTAATTTTTAGTAATGTGCTTAGGATTGATTTTTCCGGTCCTTCCCAGTAATAAACTGAAAAGAGGAAGGAAATGGATAGATGCAATGTGTGGAAAGGATACGATTTTTTTTAGGATGCCAGAATATAACCCACAGGAGAAAAAGCTGAATTTCAAACTCCGGGGTCTCAATCTGCTACATATCTGAAAATAAGGCAAAAGTTAGCATGATGTGACCTAATGAAAATTGAGGTGCTTGTGTCCGAGCCCTTCTTTACTGGCTTCTATAATTACAGTATTTATTCACATCTGTTACTAACTTGTAAATTGCCCTAGTTGGTAGAAGAACTGTTATCTGATATCAGTGATGGATCTTTGTTGATAATTCTGAAGTACAAAGAGTGACCAGATTTACTCTGATGTTTACCTCCCTTTTCAGCATATTGCAAATGCAGAACAACTTCCCGCTGGCACCGTTATTCTGCCACAGTATATTTCACTGATCTTTGTCTGCACAGTTTGTTTCTGAAGGATGTGTAAACAAACTGTAAAGTTAAATGATCTGTGAAAGACTGATGGAGGGGAGCATATGAGGTTTTTATAGCCTGTTGGAATATGGAACATTAGCAGGGTCCCAAGACTGCAGCAGTTTTTAGCACTGAAGTGCTAAAGCTGAACCTTTTCAAGGTTCTTAAAGCCTGCGGTGTCAGCTAAATTAATTCTGTGGTAGAATTAGGCTTTGCAGAACGGCATCTAGTAGCCCCCATCGTATTTTAAGATAATGTGTCTACTGCTTTGGCATTTGCCCTTAACTCCTGTTTGTATCAGAGCTGTCTTTATTTTAATGGGTTAAAATACTGAAATATGGGAATCCATAAGAGATTCCAAAAATCTAAAAAAACCTCCATCTTTTAACGTTTGACGATGTTCTTCCTTTTCTCTTACAACAGTATAATTTTATTTCAGATTATAATCTACGAAGCCTATGGAAATGCTAATGTGTTTGTTACCTTTAAAAATACTTTAAATGTGAAAAGTAAGCAACATGAGTATTAGATATTCAGCAGAGTTTTGAACTTCTAAAAACAATTAAATTTTAAAGCTATATTTTTGGAATGCTTTTTACAATTTTTTTTTTTTTTTGCATTTTTCTATTTGAAGAATTTAAAGTGTCTGTAATCTTGTTTTAGTGAGTCTAATAGGGCCTCTCGGACTTCATAAAAGGAAACCTTGTTTTAACCTTGTAATATCTATTTAGAGTAGGGCTGTGAAGGTATTTTGTTATGGCGGGAGAAGAAAGAGGTGAGGGTCTCCACGTGGAGCTTGTAAGCCAACCTGCTTTACTTGCAGTGGAATGAACTAGTGGCAGTCAATTCTGCTGATGGACAGAGTTTAGAAGCTGAGGGGTGCCAAGTTCTTAAACATCCTGAACATGGCAGCAGAAACATTTGGTTTGTTTGTGTAGTGGTGTTCTGGAGCTCCTGGGAGATGGGCATAAAGCATAGCTCTGCAGATCATTTAAAATTTAATCCAGATACGGAGGTCTTATTTGAACATCAACGTGAGATGTCCCTTCAGAAAGGGGATGGATCTCTTTGCTAGGAAGTTCTGTTTGCACAGTGCCTATCACAGTGGGACGTCATCCTGATTAGAGCTTCTGGGTGCTATAGAAGCAAGGGGAAAAAAATCCTCACTAGTTACTTCTCACTCATGGTAGGAGCAGATTTTTTTTAAACCTAGGAAGAGTATTTTGTTGGGAAATCCTTTAAGATTGAATTAAAGAGGGGCGTATAGGAAAATATGAAACCTGAAATCAATATTGAACCTTATGTAGAAGGTAAGATTTGCCAACATGTATGCAACTGCAGATGAACGTATGCTTTGCATGTAATAAAACTATAAAAAGGGACTAATTTCTATCTTATGAATGTTACAAGATTCAGAAGTTTATGGGAGGGATAAAGCATGGCATCACCAAATAATGTTTGCTTATACTAGCTAACAAACTGTAAGTCCATAAACTTTGCTATTTTTCCAAATTAAGTTTGTACTCAAGTTACGACAGCTGCTAGTATTATTACTGCACGGTGTGTTATATAACATTTCTTTAGTAGATTGGAGAAGAGGGGTGTACATTTAATTATTGTTTTTATAATTTTTTTTAATCCACTGCAGGAGAACATCAGTTGTATTTCACAGGAACGACAACAGTTAACTGAGCAGTTAGTAGATGAAACTTATGAGAAGGAACAGCTGAAAAAGATAAAGAATGAAATGGAAACTGAACGATGGCAACTAAAGAAGACCATTGAAAAGTTACAAGAGGAGGTATGAGTGCATTCCAAAGAGGCTGCAGGAGATTAAATATCTAACAGACAGAAGGAAATGAGCTGCCAAATTGCAAAATAAGTTTTGGGGTATTTTTACCAGTTAAAGGAAGTGAAATGTGAGCTTTGCTGTTAGTTTCTTTAACCTGGAGGCTATCAATAAAAGCTTTCAGGACTGGAACAGTAGTTGGAACACTGCTATCTCAAAATACTGTTGTAAAACAGTTCTGTTTTGTTAAAACAAGAGTCCAGATTTGAACTTGGTTCCAATGTATACTACAGATCAAAGTCAGTTCTTGGTCAGCTAGATGTCAGTGTTTTACAGCTGATTCCTCAAATTGCTACTGTATTAGAGCTTTAGTTTTGCCATCAGTGTGTAAACCATACAATAATGACAATTAATATTCATATCCTAAAGCGTGACAGTGCAGTTCATTATGTCAGTCAACTGAAAGAACTACTGAAAGACAAAAAGAGCATAGTCTGTCCATACACGCTGTAAGAAAATAACCTTAGCATTTTGTGGTTATGTGCTTCTACATAGAAATTCATTTGTTTGTGCACAAGCTTGACAGTATTCTCAAATGGTGAATTTTGAGTTGAACATAGGAGAAGCTGGAAGAAAAACACTTTAGTGTATTAAACATGACAGAGCCTTTTATACCACGCTGTTTTATATGTATGTCTTTCCTAGATGGCTGAAATGGTAGAGAACTCAAGAACATCAGCTCTGGAGTTTCAGAACCAGCTTGATGACTACAAGGAGAAAAATCGTAGGGAGCTTGCAGAACTGCAGAGACAATTAAAAGAAAAAAACCTTGAGGTAGAAAAATCACGCCTGACAACCATGAAAATGCAGGATGAGGTAATGGCTCATAAGTTCAATGACATATTTTAGCCTTTGACCTAGAATTCTGCTCAGATAATTTTGAAGACAATGAATCTTTGCTATCACACTCTTGTGTACTTCATCAGAGGAGACTGATCTCAGTCAGTGTGCTTTTGTGTTTCATTCTTCATAATCATCATCAGTGTGATACTTCTGCTGGGGAAATGGAGTTTCCTGGCTGGAATAGTGGATGGATGGATAAGGGCAGAGTGTTTGACAAATGAATGTATCACAGTGATATGACAAGGATTCCATTAATGATCTGTTGCTCTTTTAATGGCCACGGAGTTGAGGAGGAGAGGAGGAGTTGAGAATGTGGAAGTATCCTTGAATTAGAAAAAGACAAGCAGTTACTTAGAAACAAACAAAACCAAAGTCTGTCTCTTTAAAGGAATTGACATACGTTCTCTTTTGTGGGAGCCACGATTCAAATTTAAATGACAAAGCTGTCTGTGCAACCAAGAATTGGCCGCAGTCTTGAAGTGTCTGCCTTTTAGCATGTAAATTCTGCCATAAAAGCAATCCAGTTTTTTAAAGATCTACATATGCTTGTTCTGCACTTGGAAAAGCTATGAGAACGTCCTGGCCGTAGATGTTTTCTGTATAAAGAGTATTTTAATAGTTTGATTTTTCCAGCTCAGGACTTCTGTTTCCTCCTTCCCTTAACAAACTTGTTTTAAATTTAATTTAAAAGAACAATAACAGAAGTGGAAGTGTAGTTCCTATATATTATTCTACCTTCCTTCTGTATTTATTCCATCCAGGGATGGAGAGCCTCTGTGAAGAGCTGAAGAGTCACAATGAACTGTGAAAGATAAAACCAGGAACTCTTAAACTGAATAAATGAGAGTGAACCATTTGACCAAAAGATATAATGATGTATGATTGCATACATAAATATGCACTATATGTGTATAACTATTATGAAAAATACTTTGTGTTATGTAACTAACAAAAAAAAAAAAACACACAGAAAAAAGGCCAGAACAAAGTAAACCTTAATTATTTGAGAAAAAGACAATCAAAACGCTTCTGACAAGGGCAAAATGTTACTGGCTGTATAATTCTGTATCTTCACGAGGCAATATTTAAACTGCTAGGGCATTAAAAATATAGTATGGCAACAAGCTGCAGAAGAGGAAACAAAATCTGAAATGATAGAAAAAGCAGGTTAAACAGTAGATTTTTCTAGAGAGACTAAACGTTCAGGACAACTAAATCTTTATTCCATCTTTGTCTTCTGTGTTTAACAAGAGGTACAAATAGACAGTCCTTCTCTTCACAGTGTATGTGAAAGTGTCTGTTATCCATCAGGATCCTCTTGGGTAGGTGTCATAGCACACCTAATATCCTTTTTGAGAGTCTCATTAAAAAGCTGAGGACTATATCAATCATGGCAACAAGAGCATCTCCTTGTTCTAGGAGCCACAGTAAAATTGTGAAACATTCTGGCAAGGCAACATGGGAGTTCTTTGTTGCTGCTGCCTCTCTCATAGATTTTCTGTGGATACACAGAAGACTCCCATCTTAAAGAGTTGTCAATCCAATGTCATTCTGAAATGTTAAATACATATGAGATACATCTGTTAACATACAGATCTCTGAATTTATTAGCTATTCATCAGATCATGCACTTTGCAGATGTCCAGCTTTCTACTGCTAGGGTTTAGCAATAGATAGCAAATTCTGTAAACAATCACAAATACATTAGTTTAGCTTCATCACTAAAATCAGCACTTGACTAAACTGAGGAAGAATGCAGGCTGAAGAAGAAACCGCTGATCATATGTTATAGACATGTCACAAATTAAGTTATAAACATAAGGAAGCATCACAGTCTCACCTAAAACCAAAAGGTAAAACCCACCCACTACTACTATTTGTTTAAAGTACCATGAAGGCTTTAGATAATTTTATTGAGTGTACATTGTGACTAGAATAGGAAACTTCTCTCTTCAGCAGATATTCCTACTCGCTTTAAAAGCTATATTTATTAGACGTAGGTATGTTAGCAATTATATCATTGGTATAATGTCACCAAAGTGCCTCAGACGCTATAAAAAAAGCATGAAAAAGCTGAAGTATTGGTATCTGGAAAGGATAGGAATAGTATTGGAAAAGTTCCAAAGTTATAACCATTTACAAAAGTGAAAAAGCTTTGGCTGGCTGTAACTGGGTAAAAATGAATAAATAAAAAATACAACCACGTATAACTGTGATTGTAAAACGTGTTGTTCAAGGCATCTGTAGAGCCTCAGAACCTCTACAGCATCAATTTTAATCCAAATTCCTTTGGTTGCTGCCATCTTGTGGATGTAACAAAAACTACTGTGAAAAGCCAGTTGCTCTGTGTAATTCCTATAACACTATGGCTCTGTTTTTCTAGATCTTTTATGTTTATAATACCCGTTACAGATACCACTTATGTATAAAAAGAATAGTATAAAGCATGTTATTGTGATTCGTTTTGTTTCAGATGCGTCTTATGGAAGAAAACTTGAGGGACCACCAGAGAGCTCAGGATGAGGCAATTACAAAAACTCAGCTGCTAGAACAGACTGTTAGAGGCTTGGAATATGAACTGGAGGCCAAAAACCACTTGAAAGATGATCGGGCAAGACAAATCAAATTGATGGAGGTAAAAGTCGTTTCTAAGGGGTGGTATTTTATTAAACTGATTAGAATCATTTAGTTATTTTACATGCATTCAGCTTGGGAAGAAACAAATTAACCTGATGTGGTACAAAATTCATGCAGTAGCAATGCAAGAATTATTCTAATGTATTTCGAAGGTAACCGTTTAGCAAATCTATTATAGCATTTTGTATTCTAAATAGCAATTGCACATGTTCTTTTATTGCTTTCTTTAACGGATTACAAATGGAAGTTTTTTAATTAATTTCATCTAGAGTTTGTCTGGCAAATTTGGAATATCTTCATTCATAGGCCCTTCACCTAGACCTTCAAAAGTATTTAGGAGTATAAGTTCTACTTAGCATCAAATATCAGTTCATTCCAGGAGCCTAAATATTATCAGAATTCTAACTAAGTTGTTAAGAGGTTAGCTTAATTTTAAGTTCAGTTCAAGTAAGCCCAAATTTGACTTCCATCAACACTTTTATATCATTGTACTCATATATTCTAATTATTGAAAAGAAATTTTTCAAATGTGTTTTGTCACTTTGACAATCTGAAAAGAGTTTCTAGAAACAAGTCTTTTTAATTACAGAATTTCTCTTATTTCCTTGAAATTGGTAGAATTATTTTAAAAAAGAAATGAAACTTCTGTTTTATCTCTATGAGACAAACAAGTTTATTTTCAGAGGCTTATCTACTACCATCTTTTTTCTAGATTTTCTGCATGTATTCAGAGGCATTTCACTTTTCAAGCCTTTCCTTTCAGATAGTCCGTCCTTGAAGTTTATGGAACAAAGACTTAGTAGCAGTCTGAAGAGGATGGGAGACTAGTATTTTGAAATTACTTTTGTTTGTTCCACTTAGGACAAGTTATCTCACCTGGTACTTGAGCTTGATGAAGAAAAGACTAATTCGGATTTGTTGTCTGAGAGGATCAGTAGATGCAGAGAACAGGTATTTGAACAAGTTTACGTTGTCCAGCTGTTGTACAACGACGAGGAAAGGTATTATTAGGATTGCAAGCAATATTAATTAAGTGAATAGACAATGACCAGCAATAGGCTTATATGCTATACCTAAGCAGATTTCTATTCCTGTAGATGTTCCTGCTCTGTACATTCATTAAACAGTGCGCAACCTTTTTCCATTTAGTTTTTGAAGCAGATAGTAGTCTGTTAGAGCATCATTAAATAGAGGATAATTTTAACTTGAACCACAGAATTCTTGCAGAGGTTTGAAACTTCAGTGTTTCCAAAAAGTTTTAAAGTTTTTTATTATAATATATGATTATAAAATGTGACTAATACATGGGATTCTGATCTGTACCCAGGCAACACACACAAGTGATTGTATGTTCTGTTAATGCCATATGCTAGCTTCTAAACAGGGAGTTACTGTCGCATACATATTTAATGGTTTCAACATTACCTTATCAAGAAATGCCTTATTCTCTTTGTACTGAAATTAGTTGTGTACAGAATTATTTATAGAAATATATATTGCTGATTACACATAGATTTTTCCAGCCATTGTTTAAGATTCCAGATAATTTGTCCCCCTTTTTTCTCTCAGTATACCTGCACAGATATGTCCTCCCCTAGGTTTTTCTGTATCCAGAAAGTCTGCCTGTGTGCACATACCATTTTATTTGCATTAAAAACTTGACTCTAAAAAAATAAAAAACTAACTGTGTGTAAACAGTTTTTAAAAGCTGGGTAAACACCATTTTAAAATGTTCCCAAATTAAGAAACATTAAGTTTATGTTGTAGGTTGTAAAATATAAAAGGAAGGAAGTGTTGAGCATTGCACAGGGACCCGGGAGGCCAAGTCCTGCAGACGCTAAAGAAAAACGGCAGTGTGAGATTCCCTTGGAAATGGATCAAGGATGCCCAGTCAAGTATGGCATAATGCTCAAAAAGATTATTCAGATTATTCTAAGAACAGCAAGTAGAATAGCGGAGATTGAAAATGAAATAACTGAAGTAAATGAAATAAGAAAATACAATTATTTGTTAATAATGTCTTGGAAATAATATAAAACAGAACTTTTGGTGTAAAATGATTTTGGGGAAAAATGGCCCCAAAAAAAGATTTTTCTTGTCACTTACAGTAAACTCCTGAGATTGCCTGTAGCTAGCAATGGAGATCTCTCAAACATTGTTAGGGAAACTAGCAGTACTAGAAATTTTGTCTTGAGGAGACATAATTTACAGCTAAAGACTTGAAGACCAGTGGCCATCATTAGACACTCATGCAGTCAACTTCTTCATGAAGTAGTCATTGATGCAGTCAGAAATGATGCTAAACTAGGCTTAGTTTTAGATAAATGGCTATGAGAGGGGGGCTGGCTGCAGAAAGTATCTGAGATTGGAAGATAAAATTTTTTTAACCTTCCATTCATTTTAACCTTAATGAAAAGCAGACCAGCAGATAAGAGTCTTCATTTTAGAGAAGGCAGAGTTGAGGAAATTATGGGAATTAATTAATGAAGTTAGTTGAACTGATGAGGCTGGCCAGCTTCAACAGAGAAGAAGCCAGAAATTTATTTCAGCCATAGGTATGAAAAGTGTTTAAGAAGGTATATCAAAGTTAGGAAGAAAAGACTGGTAGGAAAGTGCGAGTTATTAGCTCTAGAAGTATTACATGAATAAGTAAAGAGCCTAGAAAGAGGGAAGAAGATTTTATTGACAATGTTGTCTTTCATGGGGCAGAAAGTGTAAAGATAAAATGAGATTTGCCAAGCTGAGACCTAGCAAAGTAATTCAAACAAAGAACAGAAAGTGTTTTGTCTGTGTAAGTAGAACAAAGAAATTGTGGCAATGGTGAATGATGTATGAAGAAGTGTCAGTCAAGATAAAAAAAAATAATCCAGGTATGCCTCCTCAAATTGATGAATATTTTTGCCTCTGTATTCAGTAAAGCCAGTGAAAATGCAGGTGGGGGCAAGAGGAGCAGAACAGGCTAATGGAAATGAGGCCATTGAGCTGGAAATCACCAACCCTAAGAGAACTTGTAGTTCACTGTGTTGAAGAAAAAGGCCTGAATAATCTCTTTCCAGATTTCTAGAAGAACAGACATTTGAAATTAGAGGTCTTGTAACAAAGATTAGTTACAAATCTTTCTTTTCTACAGAAAAGTAGAGAATAGTACTTGACAAGAAAAAAAGTAAGCAGAGCAACCACATGTCTGTAGTCAGTAGTACGCAAGGCTTTGATAAGTCCATGAAAAGGAATATTTTGATGCTGCTATCTTGCAGTATCAGGGACTAGACAATGGTTTTTGTCTTAGTTTTCCATTCTGAAAAATGTGAGACTGATATATAGCAACACATGTACTACTGTAGCTTACGTTAAGTACTGTATCTTATTAATAATTCCGTAGAAGTCACGGAGACAGCTTGCAGAGGTACAGCAGACTATAGTCTATTCTTTTTCACTTCTCTTTCTTTCTCTAGAAAAAAGAATTACTGATATTCTTTTGAATAGTTTTAATTTCAGAAGGAGACTAGAAAATAAAGCCTTAGTTTCCGTGTCTTTTCAATGAAATGGTATCTTCCACTGAGACAGCTGGAGAGTTTTAGAGTGAGTTAGAGTTTAGCTTCCTTTCATGCATCCTCGAAACACCAAGGCACCATTCATGCTTTACTGGGACTCAGGCTACTGAGATTATATTTGACTGCAGTATAGTTTCTTTGCTACTATTGCATTGATAAAATACAGACTCAGACTGTGTGTGTGTGAAATGCTCTTATTATCTGTGGTGAAATAGAATGTAGAGGACCCACAATAATCTGGGGTCATGCTATTGTGTAATTAGGAAGCCTTCAATGCTAGAGTCTGTGCCTGTGTTGTAAACCTGGGATAAAGTAGTCTTGGTCATAGCTTTAACAGTAGGTACTACAGTAATATAATTTGCTAGTTAAATAGAAAGCTAAAATATAGGTCGTGACGAAATGTTACATAATGGGCAAAAGATATGTTTATTTTGAGATCTGGAGTTTCTCGTTTTATGCATGAGTTACAAAGGTTGCTTTATTTTGATTTTATGCCAGAATGACTAAGTAGTCAAATTACTAAAGAGTATTTCAGGGTCTGCTAAGCATTTATAATAACATGAGAAATGATAATGGATTTATTTTGGTAATATCTATGTCTCTGTAAATGTTTTTTGTTATAAATGTGTTATGTTAATACACTGATAATGAAGTATAATATGCAAATTTCAAGTAAAAAAAACAAATTGAAATGACTGTTTATACTTTGCATAAAGGTAAATGTTTTAATAAACATTGCCAAGGCTGATAGTTCACATTCCATTTACTATGAAATGTTATCCCCTTTTTAATCTAAACATCCCTTTGAATCTGGGTAGGACTGCATGACACAGTTTTCATCTTCGCTACCTCATTCTCAAGAAATACTGCAGCAAAGCCAAATTTCCAGTTTTTACTGGGTTGCCAACTTTAAAAAAAAAAAAAAATCTGTGGACATCATTTAAAATTTATCTGAGGTGGGTTTGTCAGACTGTCCTTTGGCTCTGTCATGTGATTTCTGAAATACAAAGAATCCTGTTCTTCTGCTATAGCCTGCTTATGTGTGCGTAAGATAGGAAAGTGCTTGTGTGAAAGAAGTGGTCTCTATCTGCCTCTCAGTGAATAAACATTCTTGTCATAAAAATTCTGTGGAGTTGGATACCAATAACTTAGCAAACTTCTGCATAGCTTCATTTAAAAGGTAGATTTGGAGTAACTTTTAGTTCCTTACAGTGACGCTTGTAGGTCTCTAAATTGTAGAAAATCTGCCAAGACAATAGAAATTCTTATCCTATCTGCAATAGTTTAATGTCCTTATAATTGCAAAACGCTTCATTCTAATCTTAAGTATCTTCTGACTGTCATGATCTTTTCAAAAACATAACTGCAGAAACTTAATTTTGGTCATTCTCTGTTGCATATCTTCTTTAGCTCTATAGAAGGTAGTCTTGACTTAACCTTTGATCCTTTCCTTGATGAAAGAAGGCATCAGATACTGTCTGTCACTGAGACGCATCTGTTTGTGTTCTCCTTCGTCCACAACCAGCTGTTGCTTTTGTATCACTTGATTTTCTTATATTACGCATTCACAAATGGATTTCTTGAGTTAATCCACTAGGTTACTTTGTCTTCTATTGCAAATCCCTCCTCAATATGTTTTATTAGCTATTTGGTAGCTATAGGACTGCCATGCTGCACAGATGTTGCTTCTTCCTGTTTTCTGGGCAGTGAGGTTGTCCGGGTGAAGTATGCCTTGACATGCATTCCTGTGTTGTGCAATCAGACCTGTGTCTGGTTGAATACTGGAATGCTAAATGGTTTGTTTAATAACCTAAATTTAGTAATAGATTTTTGTAATTGCTTCAGATTTTGATTTTGTGTATATTTTCTTTGAATTGGCTTACCTGTGTCCCATACATTCCTGTTACAATTTTTAATCCTAATGGTTTCCATGTACTGGAAAGTACCTTTTTTTTTTTTTTGCATGCACACACAGTATAATTACCAAAAACCCAAACCAAAGTAGACAGACAAAAAACTTGTCAAGAGTATGCACTGAAATTAATAAATTATTGCAAAGCAGAAATGCCGATTAGTCCTTGGTGTGACTAGCATAGATTAGGACTGTTGTTCTCATTTCCTCAAATGAGAAATCTAGTATGTTTAGTCATTATATGTATATATGTGATGTATTATGTAAGTGATCATCTGGAATCCAAATTCTGTGTCTAAATAGCTCGAAACTTTGGGGAAGTTCGCAACAGCTAAGATTTTTGAGGAAGTTGTATCATATCCTATTATTTTTAAAATGATTAGGTATTAACAGCTCTGGTAAGAGCAGAGGCTTCAGCACGCGCACGCACACACGCACGAAGTCCAGTGCACTCTTGCTGCACTTTGAGGCTAAAGGAAGCAGGAACAAGACAAGCATTTCAGTACGTGATGGTTTTGTCCACGAAGAAGTAAAATGCCTTGTGCCATTTTGTTTTTGCAAACGTAATTGAAATGTACTTAAAAGTACCCTCATCAGCTCTTGTGTTCTGTGAAAATGCAAACATGAGTCTATCGATTTCAGAGTTGCTTCCAGTAAGTGTGAGAAATGGACTAGTTTCCACGGCAATTTTAGAATAAATATAGATGAATGAAGTTACATTGGCTACATCATTCACTTCCTTTTGGTAAAGCATTCCCAAAAGATAACTATACACCTGCTCCTTAGCTGGCACCAGGTGTGCGAAGCAAATAAATGAAAATGTGGAAATGAAGGTTTTCAATTATCAAAGGCCTTTGTGAGCCTTTTGCTTGTTTGTTTGTTTGTTAAAGATCTTTTTAGCTCATCATGTACATGAGAATTGTGTGCATACTTGAGAACTGTGCGTATACAACAGGTTAATAGATATATGTGCATATATCTATCTTTTCCCTGTTTAGGTATTCAAAAGAAACATAGGCTGTGAAGCCAGGGAGATGGTAAACAATAGTGATAGCATCTAAAATATATCTAGAAATGAAATTACTTTCACTAATAACAAACTCAACATCTGCTTCTCATCCTAAAGCTGGCACAAAATGCTATTATGTCTAATAAAGCTTTGTAGAGTCTGATCCTATTGCTTTTTTAAATGCTATGTTGTTAGCATTCTTCAAATCCAGCTGTGATAACTGTTGCTTTAATCTGCACAGCTAGTTTATTCTTTTAATATAATTAAAATATATTAGCTATATTTAAGGTAGAATGTGAAGCACAAAACCCTGCATGCTACATACCCAGAGCCTATCTTAACTGCTGTGAAATGAGTGGAATCTTTCAAACCACGCTTTTTCAGACAACTACTCTTTTCCTTTGCACATGCTAATTATGTGTTTACTGAAGAAAAGTGCAAGGAGATAACTGAAAACAGTTTCCCGTTTCCCCAGCAAGACTTGTGGCCTGTTGCTGTTCTCTTTTTATAAGTTTTTGTATGTATTTCCATATGACTTTCTGATCCTAATCAGATATAGTATTTTTTCTCTCTCCCACTGTTTTTTCTGTTAGATTGCTTTTACCATGAAGTGTCCAACCACAGTAGCAGTCATCTTGGAAATATAATAGTCAGTACTTCCTTAATTTGAGATCTGGGGAAGTTTGCACAAATTCATCACAGCCTTTAAGCACAGTAAGAGCACAATAGAGCTTCAGAGTGTGGAACCACATTATGGTCTCTTAAGCAAGTTCCTACATATAGGATAAGCCTTGTCTTTAGTTTACGGTTGTATTTTTAATTAGTCGTTCAGTTTACCTCAAATATTGTTTCAATTTTTTCTGTGTCTGTTTTCATGGCTGAAGCAATCATAGCAAAATTTCTGTGTAATCCCTTTTTTCAAATATATGTTTGTATATGGAATGGAAGAGTGGAGTCACTAATGTATATGATAGCTGCATTTAGAAATAATCTTTCAGAGGGTTTGATGCTCATTCTGTTTCATAAGAGAAAAGCTAAATCATATTGACAGCTCATAGTGATTGTCTGGGGCTGTTCTTGAAAAACATGTTTGACCTAGATGGGCCTGTGTTACCTGGAAGTTGTTTGATCTGGTGATTGCCCCGTTAAAGATACTTTACTCCCCTGTGCTCTGTGAAAATATTTAAGTGATCTCTCATTAAATAACTTTACTGATGTTTAAGTAGTATAGTTAAAGAAAAAAGAGAAATCGAGGTCGTTAAGCTTCTATGTGACAATGAAACCTTTTAGGAAATTATTCAGCTGTTGCCAGAACACAGTCATGTGCTAACATTTGTAGTCTAGTAATTGATATGATCTTACTTTTCAGGAATGTCTTCTACTGTTCCAAAACCATACTGGGGCATAACATATGCAACCCCATGCGTTACTGGCATTGTTTGTATTCATATATTCATTTAAATGCTATAAAATCAGTATAAATTGCTTCTTTTTAACATGTGATTAACTAAAAATATGGCTTTTAAGATTGTAGTGTGGTTAAAAAAAAAAAAAAGAGAAGGCCTAAGGTAAACTGTTATATACTCATTTAATCTTCACGCTCTCAATATTGCTTTTGGTTTTTTTTAATGCAAAAATTCCCAGTGACTTTTGAAAGACCTTTGGGGAGATAAATCTGTACCTTAGAGTTATTTAACTGAAGGTGTGTTTACGCAAGTTCACCTGTAAAGGTTTTAAAGTAGAACAGAATGCTGTGGCCACTGAAACCTTTGTCAGTCCTTTTGCAGGTACAGGGATTGGTGCAGGCATTTGCTGCCTTGCCCAGATGATGATGGTCATCACGGTAAACATTGCACAGGGAGTAGCACAAGTGCTGTGGTAACATTAGCTGTGTCTGCAGAGGCATTTGTAAACACTTGAGGGCAATTTCAGTAGGAATAAGGGAGAAGAAAAGTATTTGGGCATTGCTGACTTTCCTTTAGCCGAGAAGTGCCAAGAGCAGCTGTCAGGCAATACAGAGCTTCTCTTTGATCTTCAGAACGTGGTTTTTTTTCAGTCAAAATGAATACTGAGATAAACAGAAATTCTGTATTCTTATGTTGATTGTGTATTGATCAGGTTATTTTTTAACATCTCGTGCATGAAGAATACTTTTTTTCTTTTAGTTATTGAAATATTTACAGAAACTGTAGCAAAGGCTTAAAAAAAACAGAAGGTACAACAAAAAAACCCCAAATGCAGAAGTTGGTGCTCTTGCTGTGTGACAGACATGACATTGAACAGTTTAGTGGAACAAAATCTGAACAGCCAAGATGCATCAGAGCCTGCTGAAAAACAGCCTTTACTATTCTTACATGCACAGAAAATTGATAAATTGTAGCATTTCTCATTGAGTTCTAGGCACTTTTCCCACAGATACCAGTTTGTGCTTAGTAAAGTTTAAAGTTTAAAGTACACTACCCCAGAACTTAGAGGTAAGGTGCCTGTTTGGAACTTCAGACTTAAGTATGAAGAAGACAACTCCAGAAGGTGTTTGAAGACTGATGTGACATTCTAGAGGTCAATTCCCTGCTGTTTCAATACAGAAAATATTTACTGGTTATCAGCAATCCCCCATGTGGGTAGAAAATGCCTATAAAAAGCACTGGGGATGACAACTTCCTGAAGGGCAAAATTTCATCCAAGTTTGTAATTGTAAACTTTGTCTAGAGTCACTCATATGTCTTTAGTTTAAGAAAGGGTGAATTTTATTTCATTATAGAGATATGTTACAGACTAAATGTATGTGTGTGTATACATACACAATATCATGTAGACAGATGTAATTTAAATCTTTTCTTAATATTTCTGGCTTTTCTTTATATAATAGATTGAACAAATGAGAACTGAGCTACTTCAGGAAAGAGCTACAAAGCAAGACTTGGAGTGTGACAAAATTTCATTGGAAAGACAGGTAATTATTGCTGCTATACCATCGCATTAGCAAGATAACAGAGCAGTTCACTGTGTTCATTAAGAACTAAGCATTTAAGGACTAGAATATTTGGGAACTATCCCACCAGAGTGTATTGGAAGTATGAGTTGTATTAAGAATAGGTGAAAAAACCTGTGTATCTTGCCTTTTATACTCAAAAGAATGATTATATTTTTACAATATTAGAATCTTAAATTACTTCTGCTCTTACTATTTTCTTTCTTTCTGTACACTCCCTCTTTAGCTTGAGTTTTATCACAGCTTATAAATTTTATATAATAAGCACTCAAACTATACATACACCTCTTTATACAATCTTAGCAAACATTTTTGAAATAGTGAATGCAGGCATCTCTCTATCCCACAAGTTCTGTCTATGCATTTGAGGATCAAAGACATTAAAATTAAGAAATGTAACAATTGATTTTGTATGCATGTTAATAGAATAGAACTGAGCCATTATACTTTTAAAAGACAAATACAGTGGAAGGACTATAAAATATCGAAGACGCTGTTAGCTAGTTCAGCTATAAACCCTTTGACCACTTTTGGAGGAGCCGTCTTTCAAACCCTTAATAGTATTTAAGGAATACTCTTGAAGGCAGATGACCATTTCAAGCAATTCCAATTTTGGTTGAATGCTTTCTTTTATAGAAGCAAACAAATGAAGACGTGACATGCCTTTGAAAGAAAAGATACAGATTTGAAGGAGAACTGTTACTCTCTATTGCCTAGGAAGGAATATGATTCACGCAATTCAGTATTTGTGATGAAAACTATGTTAAAATACTTTCTAGCTTTTTGTGACTCTTTCTTCTACAGCTCAATAGTCTTTAAAAGAAAGATTATTATTTTAGTTCTGAACTGAGATGCAGAGGAAAGATATCTTAGCAAGTGATTGCCTTGCTGACAATCTCAAGAAAAAAAAAACAGAATGTAAAGGAAACTAAGACGACAAGTTTATACAAGACACCTAACTTCTTGGTGACTTTATTGGAATCCTATCTTAATTTTTAATTGTTTGAGAAGAAAGAATGCCACCTACTGGTGTATCCCACATATATCCTTGTTTTTTTTTTTTTTTTTGGTGTTAGAGATCTGAGATCATGGTTTGAAGTTACATAACAACAAAGCCTTTACTTTCTGTTCTTTATATAACTTTTCTTTTTTTCTGAAACTTATATCTTAAGGTCCCTAACTTACGCAGCCTCATAATGATTAATGTGCAAATCTGAGCAAAAAACCTGCTTTTACAAATCATGCTGCTTACAAAGACAGAAACTTTTTAAAACTACTATCTAGTCAGAGTAGTGTTGGACAATGAAGAAAGAAAAAAACCCAGAAGCAAATGCAGCTTTCATAGAGTAAAAGTGGTATCGAATTCAAGTCATTTCTTTATATCTGCTTGTATTATCCATGCACCAGTGAGTTGCATGGGTAAGACTCAGAATTTAACAAAATAATTAAGCATGGAGAATGAGACATATCTAAAGTTACTTAAGAAATACTGACAATTTAAAAAATGCTGTTGGAAGGGCCTGGCATCCATCCTAAGTTTGAGAGGCCTTCAAGCCTGTAGTTTTAACTCCGGTCTAACATTAAACTCTTACTGATAAAACACAGTAATAAGATGTGTTTGCTCTTAGCTAGAGATTTTACCTAGTCTTGCAGTAAAATCTCACTAGCTCTTTTTTCTGTATTCATGAAATAAAAACATACTTATTACCTTATGTTTTTTGAAGAAACTTGCTTTGTGTTAAGGTGATATTTGTTAACACAAATGTAGATGTAGTAATCATGTTTGTTCCGACTCTAGAACAAGGACCTGAAGAGTCGAATCCTTCACCTGGAAGGTTCTTACCGATCCAGTAAGGAGGGACTTGTTGCACAAATGGAAGCAAGGATCACCGAGCTAGAAGAACGACTCGAAAATGAAGAGAGGTAAAACTAGCTATCTTAAGATCAAAATATTTATGTTTATATATGTTAGTATGACCTCTTGCTACTGGTACGTCTCTAGGCCAATGAATTTGATTTTTTTTGACAAGCACTGAATTAAAATGGCTTCTGTTTTATGCAATAAATTATCCATACTTAAAAACTTAAAACTGGGCAGCAATGTAACATGGTTACATACCTCAATATTTTATCAGTGTTTGCTATCAGTAACAGCCTTAGTTAGAAATACTAACTATAGTTTAACATTCCAATTTGCTTATTCACTTCACAGTTTACACTTGGAGAAATGTATTTTTTCTCTAAATATTGCTCTGAAGACGAAAGAAATTCTCCTTAGCAGTTCATACCTTTGAACAAAACTCTAGTATGCTGCATGAAATTAATGAATTAAGCAGAAGCCATTAGTATTTGTTTAAGACTTGGAATATTGCTAAGAAATTCTCTCAGAAGGATTGGAAGTATCCCAGTTCCTCTTTCTACAAGCCTGTTGTTTGTTTATTTGTTTTTCCAGGGATAGAGCTAATTTCCAACTAAGTAACCGCAGACTTGAGAGAAAAGTGAAGGAGTTAATGTTGCAAGTAGATGATGAACATCTCTCATTGACTGATCAAAAGGACCAGGTAGAGGGAAAGACTTATATACAAATATCTGATATTAATCCTACTGGCATAAATCATCATATTTAAAAGATATTTCAAAATATAGGTAGATAATGTGTTTTAAAAAACTCCAATTTAATGAGATTCTTTGTTCCTATTGTCGTCATAGTTTTCTGCCTACTAATAAATTTTAATTAATTTCCAAAATTATGAAAATGAAGCACTTTGCATAAAGAAATTCTGTAACTTTTTAAAAAAATTAAAGCTAAAAGCAGAGAATATAATCATATAAATAGATACACCAACAAATAATATCTTATCTTGCCATAAAATTGTGTTTCATCAAAGAAGCTGTATATAGTTATTAAATATAGACTATATATGTTAGGCATATATTGGTATATTTAATAGCAATATGCTATACCATTTCTGGGATCTTTATTGATTCTTTGCTTAAAACATGATTTGTTTCAGTATGTGAATCAAGTAGTTAATAATCTGGCTAGAGAATGAATAGCATGTTTCAAAACATCTGTTATAGGAACAATCTTTTAAAATCTCTTATGTTTTTAAAAAATATTTTACAGTATCTGTCTGGTAAAGTTGCTACTGAGACACAATAATAGCTTCAGACAGTCTTCCATTATTGATAACTTGCTCTTTCCATCACATAGTACCACCTTACTCTGTCAAAGCTGTGTTTACTTGTCGTTTTTTTCTTTCTTAAAATATTTATCCTATCACTTGACTAGTCTTACAGTCTAATGCTGACTTTTGAATACTTCTGAAGCAGTTTTGCAGTGTCATGACACTGGCAAAGTTCTATCTTTATTCTCCCTCTCATAGATGCTGGAAGAATAAAATTCCTTTATTAAAATAGTCCTCTAATCAGCTGACATGTAAATATTTCAGTTGAGTTTGCGTTTGAAAGCAATGAAGCGTCAAGTTGAAGAAGCTGAAGAAGAAATAGACAGACTGGAAAGTGCCAAAAAGAAACTCCAGAGAGAACTGGAAGAGCAGCTGGACATGAATGAACAATTGCAAGGACAGCTTAACGCTGTGAAAAAGGAATTAAGGTAGGGTTACTTGTTGGACCTTACAGTTACGTATCAAATGCTTGCAACTGGCCTCTTGCTCCCTCAGTCCATGAGCCAGGGAATTCCTCTAACAAACTTCAAGTTTATCATAAGCAGACAGACTTTTAAAGGGAGAGCTGTGAAACTCCTGCAATTCCTTTCTCTGCAAATATTCTCCAACTCCTTCCTGGGTGCTCTGTGTGCCCAAAACTTCTTTCTAAGGTCTGTCCTCTGAGTAAAGTTGCTGAGGCAGAGCACAGGAAATGGAAACAAGTGGTGGGACTCAGCACTCTAATCATTTATTAGTGGAGGAAATTTCCTGCTAATAACTGAGAGGAACAGCTGTCTTACATTTAATTTCCTCAGCCATCTTTGAACATCTCAGTGTGCAAAGTTTAGAGTTTCCCTTGGTTGTGACCTTAGGTAGAGGTGCTTGAAAATGTAAATGATTCAGCATCATTCTCTCGTACATCTATTTTGTATAGATGTAGTCTATGATAATTTGCTCCTATTGGAGTGCAGGTCTCTTTGAAATACTTCAAAAATGCACGTGCTCCCTGTCAATATTATGAGTTTTGCATAAGTGTTCCACATGTAGATGTGCAGTTTTAATACCACATATGTGTGTATTTTTGTGTTAATAGACGGAAGAAGTCACCAAGTAAAGTGTTGACTGATTTTGATGATGATGATGATGATGACGACGACGACGATTTCAGCACGGATGGAGATAGTCTTTGTGAAGCACCTTCAGGAAATACCTTGTCAAAAGATGATGACACAAAAATCTAACTAAGTATTGAATCTGTGATTCTTTGAAAGTACTGGAAGACTAACCTAAATTACCAAGACTGGATATTCTAGACGTCAAATGACATAAAGGGATTTAAGAGCTGAGAATATAACATTTCCATCCATACTGTGCCATTTCCTTATTTAGATCTTCTTTGTTTATTATAGAAAACAGGATTGCATAATGAAACATGGAGTGAGAGAGATATATATAAAAATAAATATGTATATTCCTGCTACTGAAAACATAGGGATACTGTTTCACATTGGTAATATGATTTTGCTAAAATTCTGTTTAAGTAAAGAGCCATTTGAAAGTAATTCAAAACCAGTTTGTAGTTATTAAAAGGTTTTCTCTAAAATTAAGGAAGCCACAAAGGATTTTTTAATAATTGTAAGTAGGGGGAAATGATGTATAGAATGTAAATATTTTTAAACTAATCATCTTATTGACTACTTTAGAAGAAGTTTGTAAAATTTCAAATGTTATATAAATCAGTTCCATATGTAAAGTACATAAATTTATACTGAATGTTATATTTGAGTTCTAACTAAGGAAAAAAACAAAACTAATACATTATGAGTATTAGGGAGCAGATTCACAGTTCCTGAGCCAGGAAGTATGTTCCAATTTTAAAATCAGTGCAAGTTTTATTGTATGTATTCTATATATTAGGGATCAAATACTAGCGTGCAGAATTAGATCTCCAGGTTCAGATACTGTCTGTTGACGTTAAAGGGACAATTATGTGTGCATGATGAGTGAGGCTTGCCTATAACTTTATTGTAACCTTTTGTTTCTGAAGCTCTCTCTTCTCAGTAGGGTAACGTGAGAATGAGGTGAGTTATTACTTGGCATCTTTCATTTCCCAAAGTGGGCTCTGTACTGCCAGGTGCAGAACGCTGTAGGCCTGCTCAGTTGAGAGCACCAGGACAGGCTTATCTTAAAGCCTCTAAGGAGTCCCAGCCATTCCAGTAAAATTACATGTGTCATTCAAATTAAGTACATGCCTAACTCTTTTGATTAATTGATCCTGGAATGTTATCCACTTGGCAAGAAATTGCACCAATTTCAGGGAATACAAAGCCAGTAATCTGATTTTTTTTTTTTTTTTTCCTAACTTGTTCTTCAGCATCTGTTTGTGAGATCTTGCAGTGTATGGTCATGTATGCAGACATATATTAGTGTTTCAGTTTATAGCCGTTATCTGCATTTTGGGAGATCCATCCTGTGAACAAATATTGAGGGAAAATAAAAAAAGAGCATTTGCAGGTTTTGTTTTAAATGCGCTTCCATTTTATTGCAAAGAATTTTTTTGTGCCATTTATATTACACAGACAGTTTTGCAAGTCTAGAATCTTAAGGAAAGTGCACTACTACATAATTTTGGTAGTAAGTCATAGCTAAGTCCTATCTGATTATTAGTATTTGTTCCGAGTTACACTTAAGTGAGTACTTCTCTGCTGAATGAACCAAATAATAGTTTAAAAATTAAAAATACTTCAACATGGAGTTGCTAGGAGCTTCCATTATTCCCACAAAAGCATCTACTCAAGGATAAATTTAGCAGCTCTGAAAGTGAGGCTGAGATACTTGGGTAAGACCCAAGTGCTGACAATGGCAGTGTCCATTCTCATATGATTATAAGTGAAACTGCTGCCTGCAGGATCAGAAATCTATTTGGACATAGTAGATTACAGACTCTCTTGCCGTATAATTCCCTTCAACTTGATTTTGATGATTTGAAATATATGGGAAATAGTAAGAACTGCATAGTTGTAATAACCTGTCTCTGAATTTTGTACAGTTTTTCAGGTAATTTCAGGCATACAGCATGTTATTCTTTTGTGGAGCTAGCTTTACTACTTTGGCAACCTACAACCAGCTCTTACAGAAAGATCTGCGCTATACTGTGCTGACAATCATCATATAACCTTCTGTGATTGATTTTTTGCTTCATTTACATGTTATTAAGGGCTTAACTTTAAACAACTGATGCAATTTTAGTTCTGTTTCAGCCTTCTGTCCTAATGTTCATAGATGACTATTATTTCAAACCACTGGGAGAAAATCACTTAATATAGCAGCTACCTCCAGTTAAACTAAGCTGTTAAAGATAAAATCCACTCGTAATAAAATATCAGTCAGCTCTTTCAGTTCTGCTTCGTATGGTGCATTTAGCTTGATCTGATGTTTGAATTTCATAGGAAAATGTTTGCATTTAAAATATAACAGGAAAATATTTATCCAGGAAATATTAATGCTATAAACAATTTTCATCTTTTTGGATGGAAAAAAACCTCATTGCTTGAAAAGCATGTGCAGTATCTGAAGACTCCTTTTCTCATTTGAACTTACAATAAAATTCAAGGGCTCTTCCCTTGTTGTCTTCCCCTTGAGACATTGTTGTGAACTCTTAGTGGGAGAGATCCTGCCTATTAGACTCCCTGCCATGTCTGCATCAATTGAACTGCCCTTCATTCTGTTCATTTAGACTTGATAATGACATTTTCTCCTTGGAGTTCTCAAATGATACGATTAAAATTATAGAAGTTCTTAAGATATTGAAAAGGGCATTTTGACTCATTCACAGAACAATCTGTAGCTCTCTTTTGATACGTGATGCGCTCAAATTGTGTCACATTGGTAATTTGGGGTAGTTTATTTCTAAAGTCTTTTCAAGAAAGTAAAATAATCCTGCTGCACTCTGTTTTGGAAATTGTTGCACTTTGACTCCATATATTAGAAATGCCTCTTTTTTACATGTCAGATTAGCTACCAATATGCAAATGCTAGCGTCTACTCACTGATCACATTTTGTGTCTGATAATAGTTTAGGGAAGTCCAGTCTCTTTATTCATTTCATGTCAGTTTTTGATCAAAATTCACCCTAAGTCAGTATTTGTTTTAGAAAAGTTTGCTTACCATTTTCATGTAGTCTATCTTTAAATGCCCCTCTGAATCTCAAGAGAACCTGTGGTCTTGGACTAGTAAAAGCAATAAGAGACTATGTGAAGAAACGTGTCTGTGAGACTTTCAGGCCTAGAGGCTAGCAAAAACATCAGAGCTTTTGGTGTATTACATAAATGAGCTTAATTCAGCTGTAGAAGCCTTTGACAACTTTCTCTGATGATGCTGTAGCATCTCATACACTAAATGGATCCAAACCACATCACTTATGCTATGAACCTGACCTGATAAAGTGGATGCTTCTCTTTCAATCTTGAGTAATCTATGATAAACAATGAACTTTATGCCCTCTGTGGAATTAATGATCTTCCTTATCTCACTGAGATTTTGACCATTTGTATGTAGTGAGAGCTGAACCTTTTCTCCTTAAAATTCTGTTCTGCCTAAATAAACGTGTTACTCAACAGTGATGTAAGATTAATATTGCCATATTCAGTTTTTGACAGCTTATGCCTTAAGGGGACACATGCGGTCCTTCATAACTCCTCATTTTAAGAATCTGGTCCAGATTCTATTCTGAACTTTTTCGCTAGCCTATTTTGCTCTGGCAGAGCCTCTTAGTTTTCTAAGCCTACTTTTGTAGATGTGAGAAGAAGAGTTAAATTGAAAAGGGGTATTTTAATGTTTTTAAATCACTAACATTTAGCAAGTTCTTAAAGATCTTTCGATGGCAATTGCTATACAATGGAAACTGTTAAAACAAACAAACGAGCAAAATCCTCCTGTCCTCCCCTAATTTCTCACTCTGACTGTCCAAGTAATAAAATCAAGAATATTCTTCACTTGTAACAGATTTTAATGCCCTTGAGTTTGGAAGGCATCTCTTTTCTTAGGAGCATTAAAGTCTTTCAGAGATCATCTCTCTCCTTTTACTGCACAGAGAAAGGAAAAGGAAAAAGTTACTGTCTTCCTACTGTCCCCTGTACTTGCTTTCCCATGCCCTACCTGATTTAAGGAAGGCCCTACATGAGGTGAATATTTTCTTAGGTCTATATCATGATTGCTTTTTACTGTTTATTCCCCAGGCATTATTTTCCCCCAAGGTGCATTTTCCTGGTGATTAGATTGTGTAACTTCTTGATTACTCTGCATATTCCTCTGATTTATCCTCATCCTTCTCAACTTAATTCTTTCCTTCTTTCCTGATTGAGTAAAATAATCTGTTCTGATTTATAATTGATTTTCTAAACTATTCCAGAAGCCATGTGCATTCTTCATTTGTACAGGCCAGCTGTGCGCTTTGCTGAATGAGCTCCACAGTGGAGTAGCTTCAGCTTTTAGGCCTTTTCTGGATCAGGCAGCATATTTCAGTAATAAAACATTGACATTTTTAGCTGACTGGAGCTTCCTACGCCATGAGTGGAGCTACACATTTCAGCTGCTTAATTTTTACCAACTGCAGTTATCAAGTAGCATCACAAAATGTTTGTGGACTTTGCTGAATGAGCGACATTCTTTAGAGATTGCCAGGATTTATAACACTTTTAATTTGCTCTTGTCTGCATCATATGCTGATTAGCTCACATATTTAACCTACTGACCGTAATATGTTATAGTGAGGAAAATTTTGCTGTTATTTCAAAACTTGTTCCTGAGGATTGGACTATTGAGGAAAAGGTACAAAAATGAATAGCAAGGTTCATTGGTAGTATATGTTTTTCTCTTAACGCATAAGGAAGGGAAAATGAGAAGGGAAGCACAATTCAACAGTCAAGGCCAAGAGCAGAGGCTGTTTGATTAAAAAAAAAAAAAAAGAAAAAAACCGCTCTCTAGCTTGATGATGTCTGTGGGGACTGTCATCTTTTCCTCTGTGAATCTTTGCACCCATGTCATTAAGTGAAATATCACTACTGTGATTCAGTTATTTGTAGCAATTGTATAAGTCCCCCATCTGCAGTCAGTGCTTTAGATTGCTCATCTGGTAGAACACAAATTTCAGCAGTACAGAGACGCTTCTTGTTGTATGTTAGAAAAGGCTGATACTCAGTAGGGCAGTGATTATTTGCTGTTTTTAAGGGTTGTATGTCTGAATGCACCAAGTGTTACACTGCCATCAGCTGAACTATTTTATTTGTGCTTCATACTGAATAAACAGATTGACTACGTTTGTTGTGATTGGTAATGGACAAAGACAAGTAAAAGCTATATATTTTAAAACACAGCCCTCCCCCTCTTTCTGGCTTAAAAAGAGGTGTCATGAAGTAGTGGGTGTAGAATTTAAAACATGAATTTTTTTTACAAAAACATTTTTTTAAAAATGTAGAATAAAACAAGAAAACGCTAGTATGTCCTTCTGTATTATTCTTCAAAGGGCCAGGCTCAGCTGTCTGTTGTTACCTTTTGTAAATGCTTATTGTTTTAAGGGACTCTGCAATATTAACTATCCTCACAGCAGGCCCAGCAAGTATATGTTATCTGATTGTTGATGCAGACAGAAGTGAGATAGAGATCACACAGCTGGAAAGTGTCAGAACCACGTTAAAGCTGAATAGAGAACTCTGGCTTCCCCATCTGGCACAGGTTCGATAGTCCTTACTCCCCAGATTTTTCCAGCATCACCGCTGTTGTGACTCAGTTCCACTTAATTTACAAACCCTCCACAAAAAAAAGATACCCAGCCCCTAATAATATATCTTGTGCCCAAAGTACTATCCATTGCAATCATGAAGGAGGTGCCCGTTACCTTCATCAGTATTCAGTTGGACCTGTGCAACTAAATGAGCGAGTATGAAGATGCCAGTTATTTTTCTCCACACAAGATGAAGTGTGATATAAAGTACAGCTGCATGCAGTAGTGCACTTTATGCAGGACTGTTTGCTTAGAATGGTATTTGCAAGGCAAGAGCACCATATAACAAAATTTTTAGCCCCTGATGCAAAGCTGCTGAATTAGCTTATCAGACGGCCCCATGATGGGAAGAGACATGATTTACTGCCTTTTGTGACCCCTTCTCCCTCCCACGTTATTGGTCTGATCAGGTTCTCAAACTCATGGCAATAGCGGCGCTCTATAGGAGTAGTGGCTTTCTGTCATGTGTCATAAGGGTAGTAATTTCACTTGCCACTACAATCAGCGATTATGGTTTTTCAGGGAAAGGTTGGAAGGAGAAATAAGTTGTGAAAATATCCTGGTTTAGTTTTTTTTTTTCTCCTTTTAAGAAATTATCTAGAACTTCATACACTCAGAGTTTAAATCTAGTGGAACCACTTTTCACCTCAAAAGACTGTGGCCACCTGATTCCTGAGAAATGCTGACTTCCAAAATTTTGAGGACTGGTTAATACCAGTGGAGCACGTATGAGATCAGCAGAGACTGTATGCTTTGTGTAAAAGGGAAAATTCAGTCATTCCTCCAGAACTAATAACAATTTGCTGTTTTATTCAGATGCTGAAGCTCCATGTCAGAAAAACAGGCAAGAAAAAAATTGTACTTAAATTCTGAGCACAGGTCGATGATGAAAGTTTACGCTCTCCACTTCACCAATAAGGAAAACTGTAGGAACACTTCTGTGTGAGTGCAGAGAAGGGACTCATCACAGGTAACTGCTTTGAGGTTTTCTATGCTTTCTGTATATTTCTGCTACTTCAGCAGGAAGGGCTTTGTGAACAGTACGTTATATATTGGAATACAAAGCTATTTTCACTAGTGTTAAGTATATCAAGCAGTCCTTTTGGTTATCTGCAGTCAAGCTAGGATGAAACCTGCAAAGGGATAGTGCGAGATAAACATAGCAAGAAAGATCAATGGGGGATCCAGCTCTAATTGAATGGATTTTGTTTTTCCATCTATCTCTGTTAAACAGCCTGGCACTGAATGTCACATAAGCCACCTTAAATCTACAGAGATCTAGCTAATGCTGGGATAGATGTAAGATTTTATTTCCAGGAAAACATTCTGAAGGTTCAAGATAAGGATGGGAGGAAACACACTGCATTAGTAATAGTGGTACAAGCACAGTACAAACAGGGAATGCCTGTTCCCTGTGTGCCTGGCCAGCAAAGATCCTAGGAGAATCCAGCTGAGTCAAAGGATAGTGCTGAAAATGGAGTGGCATGTGTTTCTGTAGGTGGACTGGGAATGGAGACTGACGCTGCATGCCTCTCTGTAATGTGGGTAGTTCTGTCTTGCAAAGTACTGTTTGGGACTGGTCCCTGAGAAACCTCAGTCTGTGCCAGAGAGGAACTA